TACAGTGACGTTGTGCACTTGTGCCTCGAGTGCATACGCCTGTTCCTGGTACTCATCGCTATACTGCTCGGACGTGTCCGTGTACTGTTCCTTTGCACCATAAAGTTGATGCACATCTTGTTTGGTGAATGCAATTTGGTCGCGGTCTCTATTGAACCTGTTGTTGCCTCGACCTAGACCACGGGTATCCCCACCCCAGCGACCTCTAAATTTGTTACCACGGCCCCGACCTTGACTTCTGCTGGGTTGTCTCTCCTGCGACATCTGTGCGAATTCCATGCATACCTTAGCGAAGTGATCATTTACTCCACACTTAGTGCAAGTTTGGCCGTTTGCCGGGCATATTTTCCACGCGTGAGGACCACGGGTATCACCACACCAGTGGCAGGTGCCCCGTTCGCGTTTTAATCGCATTTGTCGGTGACTGGTCCAATTCACTTGTTCCTCAATATGTTTAGAGGCGTCGCCGATTAGCTTGTTGGCCTTTTGTGCAGACTCAAGGGTCTTGGCCTCTGATACTACATCTAGCATAGATTTGGGAGTATTGTCCGGTTTCAGGTAATATTTCAACAGTTCTGATCGCATTGACTCCTGGTTGAGACCAAAGACAAATTTGTCGCATGGGTCCCAATAAAACCAATGTCATTTACATCAATATAAATATAATATTATATCAATATATAACCCTAACCTATTATATTGATATAATATTATATTTATATTAATGTAAATGACATTGGTTTTATTGGGACCCATGTTCTCTATCCTTGAACCACTGAGTGCTTCGTACTCGCATAATGAGCCTCCTTGCCTTACCTTTACTTTCCAGTCCTGTACAATTTCGTGGGCGCCCTGAGTTCCAAAATTTGAATCTGTCAGCCATAAGACAAAAACCAGTTGAGCCCGCATAGTGGCTACGTAAATGCTCCATCCATTATCCATGGCTTCTGTTTGTCGTCAACTAGTATCTGTGGCTCGATTGTGTAGCGTATTACTTGTAGTGCTTCGTCCGGCATGGCAGACCTTATATAGTGCCGAGATTTCAAGTTGACGATTCTTGTAATGAGCCGCTGCACTTTAGTAAATTACGTTTGCCATTTTCAAACAATCAGACCAATCACAGCTATTCTATCAGACCTCCTGCAGCGCCACAGATACAAACGAGAACCAGGGGCTATTATTGATCTGATTATTTGTAAATGGCCGACGTAATTTACTAAAGTTAATGAAGCGGGGTTTATGAAAAACAATCTTTTAAGAAGTAAATAACGATTGAAGTGAATGTATACACATATCAGTAGCAAGGTAAAGCCATGTAGAAGGGAACGGTAGGTTTTTTTTCGCGCCAATAGCGGCGTACGGGCCGCATTCGCAGCGCATGCATTTTGCATGCGATCTCACGAAATTTCAATGAACCCCGTTCTGTCCCAATATAACCCTCACCAAAATAAAGGTTATATGGGACAGAATTAATCGGTCTAGCCTTGACGATGCTCATGAAATGTTCGTACCCATCTGACACCATGTTGTCGTCCGTGCACGACATATAAGACACCAGAGAAAGCCTATATATAACAAGACTACAATTCTTTATTCACCAAATCCACGCCGTCCATTTACAACTTCCACTCCTGCGTATCCCCTATCCTCAGCCTCCCGAGGCTCTCCGGGAACTGCCGAACTGATACGCCCAACAGTATTAGTATTGTATAGTGTTATATAGTATTGTATAGTTTTATATAGTGTTATATAGTGTTATATAGTATAAGTATTATAAAGTGTTATATAGTATTAGTATGATATAGTGTTATATAGCGTTATACAGTGTTATACCGTGTTATAACGCGTTATAAAGTGTTATATAGTGCTATACAGTGTTATACACTGTTATATAGTGTTATATAGTATTATATAGTGCTATGCATTGTTATATAGTATGGTATAGTTTCATATAGTGTTATATAGTGTTATGTAGTATTATATAGTGCTATGCAGTGTTATATAGTATGGTATAGTTTCATATAGTGTTATATAGTAACGGACAGACGGACGGACGGACGGACGGACGATCAAGCGATTCTACAAGCTGCATCTGACTATGTCAGATGAGCTAATAAAAATAAGCACATGCGTTATTGTTAATATCATTAATTTTGAACCTCAGACTGCGGACTCCCTCATTTTGCTGCGCGGACTTGCTCATTTTTAGGGCCCCGTGTTCAAAAGTTAATTTCTACCCCTGCATCATTGTAAGCAACACCAGGAAACACCTTGACGAACACAGTATACCGACTTGTGAAACACAGCTCATCACCATGTGTCATGAACTCGCTTCTGCCCTTAACAAAGGTGAACAAATTGATATGACCATCCTAGATTTCTCAAAAGCATTTGACCGTGTTTCTCACCAACGACTTCTCAACAAAATCGTACATTTTGGAATAACAGGACAAACTCACAAATGAATACAGTCATCGTTGAGGGTGAATCATCAGAGAAAGTCCCAGTTGTCAGTGGAGTCCCACAAGGAACAGTACTTGCACCGTTGCTATTCCTCTTGTTCATCAATGATTTGCCTGACAGTGACAACCTAACATCACAGGTATGATTATTTGCTGATGATTGTATGGTATATAGAAAAATCAAGACAACATCAGATAGCGATATACTACAACAGGACCTGTACCAGCTTGCAGAATGGGAGAAAACTTGGGGTATGGACTTCCACCCACAAAAGTGCAGCGTATTATCCCATCAAATATCACTGACAAGCAATATAGCAATAAAAGGATGAATAATAGCTGATAGCAATTATCAGTACCACACTAAAAGGACAAGTGCTTGAAATATCTAGGAGTACAAAATACCTAGGGGTAGATATTGAATCCAGCCTGTCATAGAAAAACCACATCGACAGAATCACTAAAAAGGCCAACAGTATGCTGGGATTCCTCAAGAGAAACCTTAGAACAGCAAACAAGGAAACAAAGACAAACGCATATATAGCCCTTGTCCGTTCAAACTTAGATTATTGTGCCACAGTATGAAGACCACACCAAAAAGAACAGATCAGAAAAGTAGAAATGGTTCAAAGGCGTGCTGCACGTCACACCATCAACCGCTACAGAAACACCAGTAGTGTCAGCAGCATGTTAGACCACCTGAGCTGGGAACCATTAGAAAACAGGAGAACAAAACTACAGCTGACCATGTTATTTAAAATCATTAACAATCTGGCGGATATTCCAAGCAATTAATATTTGACACCTATGACAGTCCGCACTAGATCAGCATACTCCAAGAAACTCAAGCAATTCTCAACCAGAGCAGACAGCTTCAAGTTTAGTTTCTTCCCCAGGACAGTACCAGTTTGGAACTCTTTACCAGCACCAGTTGCTGAGACTCTCTCCTTAGTATCTTTTAAGGGGGGAGCTGTCACGTCATTTATTCTAAAGTATTTTGGTCCCCATTTGCCCAGTAAGTCAAATGAAGGCCTTGAGCTATGCCGGCGTGGAAACATTTTCCTGGTACCAACACGGTAGCCGAATTGGTCTTGGCTAGATGACCAAAAAGCAAATGGGTCAACTCCTTTACTTACATGCGTCTAAACAGAGAAATTGCTCCGACCTGTGATTGGAGAATAAAAATAGAATTTGTGACGTTTCGTTTCACCGGTCATAGCTGCGCGTGCCGTGTCGGTCATAGCCTACGAGCGATACCGCACGTGCACATTTGCTAATTAATTAGACTAATCGTGCTTCAATAGGCTCAAAATTCACAAAGATTAAGGCTAAGACATGTGTCTATAATAGTTAGAATTTATAGAAATGTAACTCAAATCGTTCGCACCATATGATAGTTAGCATAATAATAGCGTATGCGGCGGGGTATGCAAAATGGAAACAAAACGTCACGAATTCTATTTTTATCCTCCAATCACAGGTCAGAGCAATTCCTCTGTTTAGATGCATGTCTTTACTTTATCCTTTAGTCTTTTTACCTTATTTTATTTACTTATATTCTTGGTCATGTAATTTTTATTTGTAAATTTCCTTTTTCTTGCGCCCACCAGAAACCGTTGAGTAGGGGGGCCTAATTGTCAAGAGTGACAAATCGACGTAACCAAACCGGCCATATTGATGTAGATATTACATTCATTTTATTAAAGGAGATTACACACGCCGTTTTTGGGTAGAAACCCCTGTTCATTCCTTTGAGATAATATTAATAATACTTAATACTTATTACCGTACTTAATAATAGTCATATATGATATTGTGATATATTATTTATAATAATTAAGGCCCAAGGATAGAGAACATGGGTCCCAGTAAAACCAATGACCTAACCCTAACCCTAACCCTAATTCTAACCCTAACCATAAAGGCTAAACCTAACCCTAACCCTAACAATAACCCTAACCATAACCCTAACCTATTATATTGATATAATATTATATTTATATTGATGTAAATGACATTGGTTTTATTGGGACCCATGCGACAAATTTGTCTTTGGTCTCAACCAGGAGTCAATGCGATCAGAACTGTTGAAATATTACCTGAAACCGG